TTATAGATGCTTTTTCTTCTAAGTATTGTGTATGCGAAAGAATCTACTAGTACAACCTAGGGTTAGTTGTATACAAACTAGGTTAGTAATATACCCAAACCAAACCTATACCTAGCACGTGCTACCCTACCTATACCTATACCCAGTCACGTGCTACCCTACCCTACCTATGGTCCGTGCAACCCTACCCTACCTATACCTATGGTCCGTGCGACCCTACCCTACCTATACCTACGTCCGTGCGACCTATACCCTACCTATACCCTACCCTAGGTACATGGTACCCATCCGCCAGTCTAGGTATAATACAGGCATAGACTGCTTGCAGACAGCAAAGAACTACTTGTATATACTAGCAGGGATGGTGTACTGCGTGTAGGTAGTTGCAGTTAAGGCGCTGCTCCTAGGCTCACAGCGCAGCGCGCAAACTAAGCTAGACCACAATCGCTTTGTAGAGATGTGGCAGAGGTATCTAGCAGATGGCTCGTTCAGCCTGATGAGCGAGATAATCAGCATGCTTGCGTACAGCAAGCACATTAGATTAAACGCTAGCAACTTAGGCAACGCACACTAGTCTCTGGACAGAAAGACGTTTTATCTAAATAGTTGTCTAATTACTATTAGCTGTTTCTGCAAGATAGCGCAAGACTTGCTAGCTAAAGTAGGGCAGATGCTGCAGGAGCTGTGCTAGATTAGAAAGGAGGAGGACTAGGTAACTATTAATCTTAAGCAGGTAGTTAATAATATTATATTTATAAAATAACGCACGTTGTTTATTAATACACCAGGCAACTAACTGCTAGGTAGGCTAGAGTAGATGCTTAAGTGCGCACTTACTACAGAGGGCAGCTAGCGCTTGAAGCGTGCAGACGGGCAGTGGAGCGTTAAGGCAGTGCGGCAGTACTTACAGCAGGTTGACCGCTTCTTAGAGGTGCTACTCTGCAGCGTGCACGTCACGTTAGGGCAGCTAGGGAGGGGGTTAGGGATTACAACAATTTAACACTATAATAGTGTACTACAGGACTACAACATCTTTGTTGTAGATAGGTAGGTAATAATAGTTGTCTGCTATTACAAGTTATAGTTATAGTAGGACAAGCTAAAGATTGTGCTGTGCTTCTTACCACCACAGCTGGGGCAGGTGATGGCATTGTACTTGGTGCACATGCAGCTGTTTAAGGAGTATCTAACGCTGCAGGTGCTTAGGGGGAACTACAGCGACTACGTGTGGCACGATGCGCAGGGCGCGTGGGACACTGGCCGGCTCACGAGGATACTGCGGCGAGAGACTGGCAAGAGGCTTGGAGTGCCGCTGCACACGCTCGACTACCGGCACGCAGTGGTGGGGATTGGCCGGGTGTACGTGGGAGAGTTGTTCAGCAAGGGCTATCAAGACGACGTAGGAGAGATGGAAGAGGCAGAAGTGGATGACGATAGTGAAGACATTCTTGAGCTGCAAAACTCGCGCACAACTGCAATGGGCATAGGCAACTACAGCGTGCTGATGGATATTGTGAAGCATCTCAGCGTGCGGTCGATCGATGCGTTCCGGCTGCTGAGCGTAGCATGGCACCGCTTCTTAGGGGTGGACAGCAGCAGCACAAAGTACGTGAGGCCGAGCAGGATAGCAAAGAGGCTGATGAGCATCAGCATGTCGTTGGGGCTCGCTGGGCTGCTGAGAGAGAAGGAGGTCCGGGTTGCAGACGCGCGGGCGGAAGCGATCCAGCGGGGGCTGCAGCAGGTGCTAGGCAAGCAAGACGTTGGGTTTTGGTTGGTGGAGCAGGAGCAGGCGCTGCACGCGGTGCTAGAGAAGCAGACGCCGCTGATTGTTGTACTCCCGACGGGCGGAGGCAAGAGCCTGCTGTTCACAGTGCCGGCTTGCGTGGAGGGGCTGGGGGTGACGGTGGTCGTTGTGCTGTACTGAGCGCTGATTAAGGATCTGGTCAGGCAGATCCAGCTATCTGGCGTGGAGTGCATAGAGTGGAAGCACAGCAAGAGCAACCTAGCGTTGGTGGTGGTGGTCAGCGCAGACGCAGCTGGCGACATCACAAGTGCTGGCAATTTTCTGGGGTACGCGCGGATGCTGAAGGCAAAGGGGCTGCTGCACCAGATTGTGATCGACAAGTGCCATCTAGCGTTCACAGCAAGGAACTGGCGGGAGAAGCTGCTGGCAATGAAGAACTTGCGGCTTCTTGGGAGCCCGCTGGTGATGCTGACAGCAACGCTGCCGCCGCTGCAAGAGGGAGAGCTAGAAGCAAGCATGCTTGTGCGTCAGGCAACGTACATCAGGGCAAGCACAGTGCGGGCAAACGCGCGGTACTTTGTGTCATGGTGTCAGCGCGACAAGGTGGAGGAGACAGCGCTGTTCATGTGCAAGCGGTGGGTAGAGAAGCTGCGGCAAAGTGGACAGAAGGGGGTGGTGTACTGCAAGAGCAAGAAGCAGAGCGAGAGGCTCGCGGAGGAGCTGGGATGCGCGCACTATCACGCAGACGTGGCAGACCGTGCGGACCGGCTGCAGGGGTGGGTTGAGAGGGGTGGGATGATGGTGGCAACGTCGGCGCTAGGGACAGGCGTGGACTTTGCTGGCATTGTGTACATCTTGCACGTAGGCACGCTGTGGAGCATAAGCGACTTTGCGCAGGCGAGCGGGCGCGGGGGACGAGGGGGCGAGCAATACGAGGTGGTGGTGCTGGTAGGGCAGGGAGAGGTAGAGCAGGTGATGGAGCGAGAGAAGGAGAAGATGGACGTGCTCGCGATGGGGCAGTTTCTGATTGGCAGCGGATGTCGACGAGAGCTGATGAGCTCGTATCTAGACAAGCGGGGGCAGAGCTGCAGCGAGCTTGGGGCAGCGGGATGCGATCAGTGCGGAGAGGGCGAGGAGGTGTAGATAGAGGAGCAGGAGAAGTAGTCGCGAGAGTGGGCGGTGGTGGAGGAGGCATTCACAGAGCTGCGAGAGGGGTGTGCGATCTGCTGGGTGGTGGGGCAGGAGTTCAAGACAGCAACAGAGGAGCAGTGGAGAGGACACAAGGCAAGGCAGTGCACGGCATGGGGTCAGGGGACAGGGATGCAGGCAGATTAGTTCTAGGGGAAGATGCAGGATCAGACAGTAAAGAACAACTGTTAACAGTGCTAGGTAAGTTAGCAGTACTGTGCAACTAGGGAGGGTATAGACAAGCAGTGTTAGTAGCTAAATGTAGTGGTGCCGCTGGCGTTTGCAGCGCGGCTGACAGGCAAGGGGATTCAAGCAATAGGAGAGCTAGGGTTTGCAGAGATAGGGGATGAGGCGTACGCTAGCTGGCTTAGAAAGGGGCACAAGTTAGAGATGTGGGGGCAGATGTTCAGCAACGCAATGGCATTAGTGTAAGGAGCTGGCCTCTGCGGGCTATTTGCAAGTATGAATCAAATGGATTTGTTGAGGAGTGGCTGCAGGCGGAGGTCTGCAGACTTTTATGTCCTCTGTGCGGAGGTTACACAATTAGTCAAGATTGGGACCTCCTGACTGGGGGTACGGCTGGGCAGGCACCTCCTCTCGGAGGTTGGCCGAGGCCGGCGAGCGCCGAGGCGCTACCATCAGGCCTAGCCTGTTACAGTACCCCCCCACTTGTCGCGTTGTTTATAACGCATCCCCAGGTCAAAACACCAAATCTAGTCGCGCCGCCCACTACTCTGCCAACCAGCTTGTCTCCAACATCGTACCACGAGCCGCTGTCCCCTGCCCCGCCATAACTGTTCTGCCGCCCATCATGGCTCCTAAGACCCCATCCAAGCCTCACCAGGGCAAGGTGAGTGTTGTGGTGCTTTTTGCTGATTGCGATTTCGCTAAGACCCCTGCGTAGCGTCCCCCATCTAGGTCTCCCTCTGTTGCATGCCCGTCCAAGAGGCTAATTAGGCCTAATAATATTGTTATGGACAAAGAAGAGGTTAACGCAATGCTTGTCTCTAACAACAAGGACAACATTAAGGAAGTCTCTAATAAGGCTAAGCAGTCTCCCTGTACTGCGCGCGCCCTTAGGTTTGCTAACCTAGAGGTTTGCACTAGCTGCGCTTTAGAGGGTTTTGCCTGCACGTTCTCTAGGGATGCTTATAAGAGGGGCGCTAAGGTTTGCAAGTCTGCTTACAACGTATGTGCTTAGAAGCAGACTGCTTGCATTAAGGTAAAGTTGCTGTGGTTCCCCTTTCACGGTGTGCTAACATTAGGCAGCCACCCTACAAGACCTTTAGTACTTTAGTGAAGTACAAGGTAGCTTCTTGTGTCTCTAAGAAGCTGTTACACCTCCTCAAGTACTCTGCGCCTGTCAGGCCAGCGCTAGAGAAGCGCATAAACCTCCCTAAGCACACTGAGTTAGACTCTTACCCTTGTTCTAGTTGTAGTGGCGTCGCTGGTTACAACCTTAAGTGGTCTAACTACAAGGAGGAGATCAACGCTATGCTCGCCTGTCCTTGCCTAGAGGTTAAGTTTGCTAAGCGTACCACTCTAGCTTGTGAGGAGATCCTTTAACAGTAGAAGTAGATTATAAGTATTTCTCTAGGCTTTGTTCCTTCGTGCTTATAGTTCTGCAGCTTCTGTATCTATTATCTCTTTATGCGCACGTTCTTGACCTCAGAGCGTCCTTCCGCGAGCGTGTTGGCATGGCGGCTCCTATGACCACTTCCGCCGACATCATGGCCCAGCTCCAACTAGAGGCGGAGGCCCTAGTCGCGAAGGAGAAGGAGCGTCTTTAGGACAAGGATAACAGGGTTCTTTAAGGCGCCCCTCTTAGGTTGGCTATTAGCGTTTAGAGTTTCTTTTTTTGCTTTTTTTTTTTAATAAACAATACCTAGCTGCAGCCCTCCTAGATACTCTAAAGTTAGAGTAGCTACTTCTAGAGTAGCTTCTTAAATAGACTATTGTTTATTTTTACATTCCCTCCCTCCTTTATACATGCCCTAATAGTAGCCTACAGTCTTCCTCTTCCTCTTCTCTAACACTATGTTTAAGGTGTTAGCTTATGCGCGAACTCCTGCAAGGGGTTTATAATAGAAATTAGTAGGTAAGTTACTATTCTTGTCTCTGTGGTTTGTAGAGAACACTACCTAGTTGTCTAGGGCCTCTAAGTCCTTACACATTGCTGCTAGTTCCCACGTTGCTTTTGCATGGCCGCGCCACTTCACAAGATACAAATAGTCACAACCACTAGTCCCTGTCGCTCGTTCTGCGTTGATTTGTTTAACCTCCTATTCCTCCACTAACAACCTGTCATTGTTCGCAACTATAAGTAGGCCTAGCTGTTAGTTATTGTTAGTTTGGCTATGCAGAGGGTTCTAGGGGCATAGGCGTAGCCGCTTAACGTGAAAAACAGGGTAGATGTTCCCTTTAACATCAAGTTTAATGTTGTGAGGAGACACTACCTCTATAACAGTGAACTTCTAGTTCTTCTAGTCTAGTTTCTGGCTTTCCCTGTTGTTGGAGAAGTGAGTACCTAGTTTAAGCCATACCTTGTCGCCTACCTGCAACTAGGGAGCCTCTTTGCAGTGCTTGTTAGCCTGTAGTTCTTATGCTTGTTAAGCTTCTGCTATCTTAGATTGTGCGAAGCTGAACGTCTTAACAAACTTCTTAGTCATAGCAACAGCTACTTTACCTAGAGACCTTGTGTAGTAGTGTAACAGCTCTGCTGTTAGGTCTAGGTCCTCCTAGACAACGTCTACATTGTACCTGTGTTGTAAGAAGAAGGGACTTACGCCTGTGGATGCGGCGATTCTCCCTTTAATCGCGATTTGGGCAATAGGTACCTATCAGGCCTAGTCTTTCTGCGACTAGTTAGTGTAAGCGCAGAGGTAGGCTTCTACTACAGAGTTTATGCGTTTAGTGCTCCTATTAGTTTGTGGGTGAAACACAGTTAATAACCTCTGTGTAATCTTCAGCATGCAACACATAACTGTCTAGAAGTTGCTTAAGAACTAAGATCCTTAGTCTAACATAATAGTGTTAGGGAGCTAGTAGTATACCACTATATATATAAGAAACGCTTTTACTACTGTGTTAACCTGTAAGCTAGGTAGTAGAATAAAGGTTATGTCCTTAGAAAGACAATCTGTAACTACTATAAGGTTCTAGTTACCCTTACTTTCTAGAAGGTCTATAATAAAGTCTATAGAGATTTCCTTCTAGATCCTTTTAGGTATTAGGAGCGGCTTTAGTAATCCTTGTTTTAGTTCTCTCTATAGCTTCGTACGTCTACAGATGTTGCAGTTCTCTACATACCTCTGCAATGCTAATAACATCCCAGGCCAGAAGTATGAGCGGGACAATATTAAGTACATGTTGCCTCTACCTAGGTAACCTGCAATAGGCAAGTAGTAGATCTTGTTAATAATCCGTCCTCTTAGGACTTCTAAATTAGGTACCTATTTCTACTTGCAGTAGCGCAGTTACCCTAGATTATTAACTAAACATTCTGCGAGCAAGACTTTAAGACCTAGTTATAGAGGGAACTTCTGCGCGCTAGACAAGATTATGTCTCTTGCTAGTTAGTAGGTATTATCTACTGTAGCTGTAGTTGCCTATAGTCGCTCCTATGTGTTAATGTTGTTGTAAGGTTTGTCTTCTTAGTAGCTGTTACTTGTCTAGACTTCTTGTCTACAGGCGTGTGTTGTGACAGAGTGGATACTAGGTGGTTTGGCTATAGTTGACTGTGCTAGTTGGAGGCCTTCTGCGCACTGGAGGGATGTAGGGCAAATTTTCGCTAAGAATGCCACTGTAGCACCTGCTTCCCCCTCATCATAAGTGGGTTTTTGTACCTAAGCAAACAGTTTTAGCAACTAGAATTTTTGTGTTTGCGTTTAATTGTCACCTGTTAGGGGTAGCAAGTCCTCTTCGCGTCTAGACAAGGCATTAGCCTAGCTATTAACTTTTCTAGGACAGTACACAAATGTTAGATTAAACTAGCTTAACAAGCTTAACTACCTAACATGCCTTTCTAACAGCAACCTTATTTTGCAGAAGTACTCTAGATTCTTGTAGTTAGTAACAACTGTAAAGTGTTTCACAGATCTTAGCTCAGTGCTCTATTCCTAGAGGCACTTGATGACTGCCAGCATCTCCTTGTTGTGGATAGTGTAGTTTACCTTAGCCTTTGTGTTTTTTGCAGAGAAGTATGCGACAGTCCACAGGACGCTATCAGTCCTGTACTGCGACAGTACTCCCCTAGTGGCCTATCTAGAGGCGTCGCACTCTAGGATTGTCTTCAGGTCCTTATTAAAGTTTAACAGCGCAGGTTCTGTAATAAATACTATCTTTATAGCCTTAAAGGCTAATTATTAAGGCTTCCCCTACTTAAACACTAAATTCTTCCCTATTAACTAAGTTAGTAGTTCTACTATTAAGGAGAAGTTACTAATAAACTATTAATAGAAGTTAGCAAACCCTAGGAAGCTCTGTATCCCTTTTACTAATTTTAGGGGTTCCTAGGCCTTAATAGCAGCAACTTTTCCTAGATCTATCTAGATCCCCTTACCTGCTTTAATAATAAAGCTAAGGTACTTAGTCTTCTTAACAGAGAACTTGCACTTCTTAATATCTAAGTAGAGGCCTGCGTTGCCTAACTTCTAAATAATGTCCTTAACTTTAGCTTTATATTCTGCTTGTGACCTACTTAAGTAGATAAGCATGTTGTCTATGTACGCAGAACACTATTTATCTAGATCTTCCTACAGTACCTAATTAATATACTGTTAAAAGGTACTAGGGGTGTTAGCAAGTCTAAAGGGGGTTATAAGCTACTTATATAGTCTAAACCTTGTCTAGAAGGCTGTTTTCTACTTATTACCTTTAGTAATGTGAATTTTATAGAACACTTAGATTATATTAACTTTAGTAAACTATTTAGCCTTTAAGATTTGTGATAGGGTTTTGTGGATTAGTAGTAGGGGGTACTAGTCTTTTTTTGTAATTATATTAAGTGCCTAGTAGTTAACACAAAATTAGAGACCTCTGCCAGGTTTCTAGGCGAATAGCACTGGCGCTGAGGCGCTAGATTTGCTCACACAAATGAAGCCTCTGTCTAGGTAGCTAGTTAGTTGTTGGCAGAGGACTAAGAGTTCTTCTCTCAACATGCTGTATAGGGGTCCCTAAGGGATTATTGCTAGTTTGCTGTCCTGCTTAATAAGCTTAATAGCATAGTCAACATCTGCTCCTCTGTGTAGAGCTAGTTTGTCTACTTCTTCCTTTATAAACGTCTAGAACTCCTCCTTTAGGTAGTCAGGGAGGAGGACACAAGGGTCCCTAGAGGCCTTTTTTTTTAAGGCTTTCTATATGTCCGCTATAGAAGCAGAGAAGATTTCTATTAAAGAATCTTTCTTTGACTACTTTTGTAGTGCCCTGTACAGCTCTAGGCTAACCCACTATAGTACTAGCTCTAGTCTAATGCCTTCTTTACTCTGCACCCTTGTCATAGACAAGTAGATAAACAGTGACTTCTTAGCTGGCGCTAGGGTTACTTTGTGCTTATCCATCTACAGGCAGCCTAAGATTAGGTCGTATTCACGTTCTCCTTCAAGGACGTACGCAAACATCTGTTTAACATAGCTATTAATATTAATCCTTATCCTAACTACTTTCTTTAGCTAGGTTATCTTGCTAGCTACGCTAACAACTTGTTTCCTTAGTATAGAGATGCGCCTAAGGTTGTTTTGTGTTACAAAGCTTAAAGAGATAATTCTGTAAGTTAAGCACCTAGTATTAATTAGTGTGTGTGCTACAGTCTTGTTGTCTATTAAAACATGCAACAAGATAGGTTTACTATCTAGCTATTGCTAATAGAACTACTAGAATAACTTGCTATCCTAGTCAACCTCACTAATTAACCCCTGTCTGCAACTTAGGACAGGAGGTTCTAGTTTTCCAAATTGGAATTGTTCAAGTCTGAGTATTCCTCCACACCGTTCGTCGTGGCAGCTGCGCTGACCTGTACAGTACCTGGTTGTCTAGCTGGGGCTAGCTTGCATCAGTTAACGTAGTGGCCGTCTCTGCCACACTAGAGGCACTGGTTGTTAGCCCTTCGCCTGTTAAGGACCTCTTGTGGTTTCTATTCAGCTTGTTCACATTTGTTGTTGTTGTTGTTATTGTCCACACGCGCAGCGTAGACTTTTGTAGGTTCCTAGTCTATCTTATTATTGTCCTTCCTTCTAGGTCATTGTCTAAACAATGTGTTGTAGGTGTAAGTCTTAACTTGCCTTAGGTTAGTCTCTACTTTCAAGACTTGTGCTATAAGGGTCTAAAGTTCCTATTCTTTAAGGACTTCTACAGATACTATCTTGTCCTAAAGGTTGCTACAGATAGCAGACATATACCTTGTCTTAAGGTTCTGTTTGTTTTCTTCTTCTCTAGTATTAAAGGCTAGCTAGACAAACTCTGCATTAAAGGCTTTAAGGCTTTATCTATTTTTCTTTATTATAATTGTCTGCAGCTTCTAACAAGATCTTTCTTTAAACTAGGTATCTTAGTATTATTTATTAAGGAAGCTCTAGAATTCTATAGTTAATCCTAACAGGTAGCAGGATTTCTAGGATAGACTAACCTAGGCAGCTTGCCCTTCTAATTAGTTAAACATGTACGCTACACCTAGGATTAATTAATATTCTCCTATAGAAGTAAGCTTGTCTATTATCTAGGACTTAAATATCTAATAGAGCTAGTAGTTACTATTAAACTTCCCTATATCAGGAAGCTTAAGCTTCGTGAAGCCTAACTAGGTTGCAGTAGTGGCTGTTATTAGGGTAGGAGAGATGTTGGCTGTTACTAATCTCTGCTGTTCCTTGTCCTTGTACGCCTGTATGCCTGCTTAGATAGCCTGTTGTATATATTTGTTTGTTATGTTAACTATTAGTTAGGATTGCTAAGGTGTTTGTGGAGGGTTCAGAGGTCCAGTCGTCAGCTGTTCGACCTCCGGCAACCTGACTGTATCTTCAGGCAGGGCGGCCCAGGCTGAGTGAGTGGCCAACAGAGTCAGAGCGCGTTCGTAAATGGTCTCTAGCCATTCCGCAGGTGCTAGAGTGCTCGCGCAGTGTTGCAATTCTGTGCGAATGTCTAATCAGGAGTTAGTACTCAAGCAGAGTTCAATTCTGTATTCAACAAGGCGCCCTACAACAGCGTTAGCGTTTTTGCTTATTGTAAGTAGTTCCTTGCGGATGCTTAATAAACAAACAAATAAAGAGGATAAACAAATCTAAATATAAGGAGCTGGCCTCTGCAGGCTATTTGCAAGTATGAATTAAATAGATTTGTTAAGGAGTGGCTGCAGGCAGAGGTCTGCAGACTTTTATGTCCTCTGTGCGGAGGTTACACAATTAGTCAAGATTGGGACCTCCTGACTGGGGGTACGGCTGGGCAGGCACCTCCTCTCGGAGGTTGGCCGAGGCCGGCGAGCGCCGAGGCGCTACCATCGGGCCTAGCCCGTTACAATTAGTAATTAAGGTAGCAGTAGAGGGGTAGGTAGTAGGGGCATAATTAGGGTTAATAAATAGAAGATAAAAGATAAGGTTAAGTTAGAAAAAGGAGATTAATAAAAATATAATAAAGGTAGAAGAGTTAATAAAGAGAAATAGAAGGAGTGTAGAAGTAGTAAAGATAAGAGAAGAAGAATAGAGAAATAAAGCAAGAGGTATATAAATAGATTATATTAAGAAAGAAGAGTAAGAAAGGTAAAGTAAATAAGAATTTTTAAAGTAAAGTAGGGTAACCTAAACTATCACCGAGTGTCCCACATCACCGAGTGTCCCAAAACTTGCCAAGCCCTCTACCTACTCTCTCTCTCTAACATGCCTCAACTACCAAACGCGTTATTACTTGAACATGAAGGGAGGCTTAAGCTTGCTATTGAAGCCTTGAAATCCAGACAATTCCGAAGCCACTAGGCTGCTGCAGAGGCATTTAATGTTGATCGCTGTACACTCTCTTGTTGCGTCTAAGGACTCACATTTCGCGCAGAAGCTGCCCCCAACTGCTAGAAGCTCACTGCGACTGAACAGCAGACGATTATCTAATACATACTCAACCTCAACTTGCGAGGATTTGCGCCCCAGCTGTGCGAGGTGGTAGATATAGCTGATAAACTGCTGGCTGTACGCGGTAGCAAGCCTATTAGCAAGTGCTAGGCTGATCGCTTTGTAACGCGCTTGCCTGAGCTCAAAATAGCCTTCAATTAAGCAAAGGATAGGCAGAGAATACTCTAGGAGGATCTAGAGATAATTAGCGCGTAGTTTAAGCTAGTGGAGGAGACTAAAGCTAAGTATAGCGTCCATAA